CTGAACAGCATTGATTGCCCCACCTTGGTGGAGGATTGACTGTCAGCTTGCCGTGGCCCTCTCTTTCCTCTCAGCTCTGGAGTACAGATCTGCCATATAATACTATGTCTCCTAGAAAGAGTTCAGCCTTTGTTCCTGTCGGCCTGTGTCCTCTCCACTCATCTGCCCTGCCTGTGGTGCATGATGACCCCTTTCCCAGTTCATTTGTCTCCCCCTTTTTTGGAAACCTGTTCTAAGCCCTAAAACCCTAAACCCTCAGCCTGCGAACCCGTATTCCAGCCTCTCTTTGAGTCTGTCCTTACACCTTGCTCTTGTCTTTTGGGGCCATCCATCTAACTCTGTGTTATCAATCCTTGGCTGTGGCAATTTATGCTTGTCTATTTTGTCTATTCCTCGACCTTAAAACCTCCTCATTCTGCCTGTGTGTCCATTCTCCATCGCTCCCTTGAGTCAACCCTGTTCCCATGTCTCCTGTTTCCTTTGTCCTTGACCTGATCCGGGACTGCTTTGCTCATTGTTGGAAGCCTTGCTTGTTTCTGATTAGTGCTGATCCTTCCTAGGTCCATCGGACTTATCCAACTCTTTCTCCTTGCCGTTTAGTGTCTCTTTCGTAACAGGTCTCTTCTTGCTGTATCGTGTCTGCTTCGCCAGCCTGTAGGTCTGCAGTGAGTTCTCGCTCCAGTATTATTCCTGCCCTTCCACTTTCCTGAGCTTGTTCTGGGCTGCTGCTCAGTCCTCCCCCTTGATACATCCTTTTCGCCTTCTCAGTTCCCCCTTTGTTGGCCTTCCTTGTCCTGTTTACACTGATGTTCCTCCTCTTACATCTTGGTTTGTTTGGAAAGCTCTCTTCTGCATGAAGTCTCTGCTGATCAGCTGTTCCTGTTTCTGTCTGCTCCTAGTGCTGGAGCCCTTCTTCTGCTGTACCGTTGCCTTTCTCCTTCCGGCTGTTCCTCCGAGACGTTTTTCTATTGAGAAGAGCACTGTTCCCTTCTGTCTGTCGTGGGCTTTTTGGGCTGTTAGTCTAGTGGAGCGCGTAGAGTTGTTGGACCTAGAAGGGAGGTTTGTTGAGACTTGTCACTGCTTTCCTCCAATACTTTTCCGTGGGGGATATGTGTTAACTAAGATGGTAAGGGCTGGATGCAATTGCCTTGAGGCTACGACTGCATGTGTTGGAACGAAATTAGTCCAGGCCGAGGTTGGGGATCAGCTGAGGATGGTCAGGCATTCGGTAACGATCTCCTACTTGTTAGTCCCAGTCAGTGAAAAGTAGAGTGCTTCCCTCAACTTTTGYGATTCTGTTCTCCAAAAGCYATGTTTTTTTGAAATTTCTCAGACTCAGTTCTTTTTTGTCCGGTGTTATTAACCTTTGTTGATCTTTTTGTTCTTGGGTCCATCGTGCTCTTACTTCCGTTTGTATTATGTTTTTTATTTCGGYCCATTTCTCCTCTAGCGATGTCTTTTGTCCCTCTAGAGTGCCCTTGCACCTTGCTTTCCATATTGCCCAGAGTGCTGCTCTCCTCCATAAGTCTGYCAACAGTAGTGTAGATTCCTCTAGTGCTTCTGTTTCTCGTCCTCCCGTTAGCAAATATACAGAGTTGCTAGGGAGGTTTTTGTTTGTTAACCTTTGCCAGCTGTTTCTGGTTTTGTTCCACACTTCCTGAGCCTGCTGACATGTTATTAGGCAATGTACCAGGGATTCTTCTGCTTGGTCGTTACAAACTTTGCACATGGACGTTTGTTGCTGGGAATCTTGCTGTTTTCTCCTTTTGGCTAACCATTGGTTGACTGGCACCGCCCAATACAGAATAACCCACTGTAGGCTTCTGATCCTTACCGGTCTTATATTTGTATACTGGTTCCAAGGACTTTTATTCTCCCAACCTGCGTTTTCTCCCAAGTTTCTTTTCCACCTTTCTGAGATTACCGGGAGGGGGTCCCTTGTGCAATTGCCCAGTTTGTAGCCTATTTTGACTTCGTAATCATATATTGGGGTAAGCTTCTTGGCTTTCCCTGAAAYGCTAGGTACCATCCATCCCCATTCCGCTGGGTCTACTTCTAGATCTTTGATGTCTAGGTCTGGTCTGTACAGCCTGGTTCCGTTTATGTCTGATTGCTTTGCGGGGTTTGGTTTTCTGTATTTTTTTATTGTACATGTGCGTACCCTTTTGAGGGTATTGAGGTTTTCTGTTCTCCTAGGTTCTATTATTCTGCCTAATGCTACCCAAGATTTATGTGTTTCTTCTAGCTCGTAAGCCATGAAATCTGCTTTTCCTTCGTGCCCATCTTTTATTTGGAGCAATTTATACGCTCTGGTTGGGGGGTTTTCTTCCGAATCAATTTTTGTGGCACAGTCCCCTACCGCCCAATTTTTTTTGCTTTTCAGGAGGAGAACCCATTTTAATGGTACACTTTCTAGAATTTTTGCTAACTGTTCCTTCAGATTGTGGGTTCCTTTGAGTTTAGTTCTGAGGTCTTGTTCTGTCAACCATTTGTTATGTTCTGAGTTCCAAATGTGCTCTATTTTCCACACTCCCTTGCTCATCCACTTCCTCCAATGCTTGCCTTTTGTGTTCAGGGGCCATGGTTTATGATTTTGGTCCGTAAGCAAGGGGTTTCC